ATTATCAAATGCCTAGATGGAGTGGAACAACCCAATAACAACAGGATATAGATTTTAAAATAGTTGTAGAGGAGTTAGAGGAGAGATTAGGAGACTTTTTTTTCCGCCGGAAGTGACAGAAAAGTTTGAAGAAAATACAATAGATATTGCCCCTATGGATTTTGAGGAAATATTTGAAAAAGTACAACATGAAAAGTTATTTCACAAAACAGAAAGATCAAATTTCACTTTGGATGAAAACAATTACCTTTGGGATACAAAATTACAAGTTGTGGTACATGGTGGTTTCTGGAGTCTGGATGGATAATAGCTTTCGAGGACATGTTCAGTGTTAGGACAATGGCTCTTTTAATATTGAAATGAAACTAAGAGTTCACAGTTGGGAGGGGTGGTATACATTGAGGGTGATAAAAATTGACTATAGCAGGACACAGACAGGCTGGTAGAAGGGTCAAAGCGGCAAGTAGAATTGTGAAGATGCATTTTGATAGTAACATCCTGGGGTCATCACTAATCAAAAACTGAACTGGACCAGCCATATAAGTACCATGGCCACAGGAGCAGGTCAGAAGCTAGGAATTGTGCAACTCATACCTATCTCCCCAAAGCCTGTGCACCATCTGCATGGCATAAGTCAGGGGTGTGACGGAATAATCTTCACTTGCCTGGATGGGTGCAGCTCCGACAACACTCAAGAAGCTCGACACCATCAAGAACAACGCAACATGCTTGTCAGACGCCATATCCACCACCTTTAACTTTCACTCCTTCCACCACCAATACTCAGTAATAACATTGAGTGCCATCTGCAAGAGATACTGTAGCAATTCACCAAGCTAACAGTACCTTCCATGCCCATGACAAGACCAAAAGACACATGGGCACTGCCACTTGCAAGTTGCCCTCTAATCCACACATCATCTTGAATTAGAACTATAGCATCATTCCTTCGCCGTCACTGGATTAAAGTCCCGAAACTCACTTCCTTACTGGGTGTACCTACACCAGTTGGATGACTGCAGTTCAGGGAGGTGGCTCACCACACCATCTTCTTAAGGGCAATGACAGGGGGGTAATAAATGGTAGCCAGTAACATCCATGTCCTGTGAATGAATAAAAATGATCTACCAGAAAGATCTGCGCTCCAAGGTTAGGGTGTAAAGACTAGGATTGTTCTCCTTGGAAACCATTTTTTTAATGCTCTCATGAAATATGGGCATCACTGGCTGGGCCAGCATTTATCATCCATCCTTAACTGCCCTTGAGAAGGTGGTGATGAGCTGCCTTCTTGAACTGCTGCAGTCCATGTGCTGTAGGTATATCCACAATGCTGTTAAGGAATTCCAGGATTTCAACCCAACAACAATGAAAGAACAGTGATATATTTCCAATTTAAGATGATATGGCTGAGCAGGGAACTCACAGGTGGTGGTGTTCCAGGTATCTGCTGCCATTCCTCTCTTAGATGGAAGTGGTTTGAGGTGACAAGTGGAGGGTAACACTTGTATTACATAAATGCAATGACCATCTCCTGTAAGAGACAATCTAACCATCACTCTTTGATACACAAAGGTATCACTGAATTGGAGTAGGTGTAGAAATACTGTGGCTACAATGGCAGGTCAAAGGCTAAGAATCCTGCAGAGAGTGACTCACTTCCTGACTTCCAAGAGCCTATCATCCATCTACAAGACCCAAGTCAGGAGTGTGATGAAATACTCTTGATTTGCCTGGATGAGCGCAACACTCAAGAAGCTTGACACTATCCAGGACAAGGCAGCCTGTTTGTTTGGCACCACATCCATAAAACATTCATTCTCTCCACCACTAAAGTTTACTATAAGTAGTGTGTACCATCTGCAATAGGCACTCTAGAAATTCACTAAGGCTCCTCCCATAGCACTTTCCAAACACAATGACCACTACTACCTTGAAGGACAAGACAGTTGATACATTTCGATACTACCAGCTGGAAGTTCCAATCCAAGCCATTCATCATCCTGACTTGGAAGTATATCACTGATTTATCAGTGTCACTGGGTCCAAAATCCCTCCCTGGTGGCATTGTGGGTGTACTTAAAGCCCATGGACTGCAGCTGTGCCACTCAAAACTATTTCCTCTAGGATAACTAGGGATGGGCAATAAATTCTGGCCCAGCAGCTGAAAGCCATGTTCCAGGAATGAAGAAAAGAAAAGGCAGTTTGGGGGGCAGGGAGTTCATAATGGTGTAGAAAATTATGAAAGGTTAGGACAAGTTGGACAAGGGAAAATCTGCTCCTATTATTTGATAGTACAAGGATTAGGGGACAGTGATATCAAATATTTGGAAAGAGATGGAGGAGATTCCAAAAAAGTTTTTTTTAAATTCAATCAATCATAATGACCCAGAACTCTCTGTTTCAAGGGTAGCTGAATGGAGTGAGTTGATGGTTTGAAAAGAAAAAACTAAATGGGAACTTGATGGAAATAAGCTTGACAGGATGAAACAGAGGATTAGAGCTAGAGATAACACAGTGGAGCTGGAGGAGCACAGCAGGGCAGGCAACATCAGAGGAGCAGGAAAGTTAACGTTACGGGCTGGGACGACCTGAAGAAGGGTCCTGACCCGAAATGTCAGCTTTCCTGATCCTCTGGTTCTGCCCGGCCTGCTGTGCTCCTCCAGCTCCACTGTGTTGTCTCTGACTCCAGCATCGGCAGTTCTTACAATCTCTCAGAGGGTTAGAATTGACTGGATTGCTGAGTAACGAAACAACATTGACTTGATGGGCAGAGTGGCCTCATTCTTTGACACAAATCATTTTAGAATTGCGGGGACTCTAAAATGTGCTGCTTCAAAGGAACACTCGTCATTTTTAAAGGTTCCCTATGAAGCAACTGAAGTTCTGTAACTTACAAGTCTATGGACCAACAGCTGTATACTGACATTGGACGAGACAGCTTCTTTTTGGCTAGCACAGGCATGATGAGCTGAATGTGCCATATATGTCTAAAACCCCACAAGACGATAGAGGTTGATATTCAGAATTCAACATGATATGATCTTCCAAATTCACTTAAACCACCTGTGTATTGACAGGATAGTGGCAAAATATTGATCATGGATCTCTGAATTCCATCATCTGAGTTAACACCTGGACCTTCAAAAAGTAAAATGGTTTTAGAAAGGAAAAACACTGACTTAAAATGGCCACAGCAATTTGTTGACCATACGTTATCCCAGTTTCATGAAACCGATGTGGCATGAATAAAGATAGTCCAGGCTGAAATTAACATTTTCAAAAAGATGGAAAAGTTGCACTATCAAAAAACAGTGTGCCCAGAAATGGGAATACATGAATGATTGAGCTGTTTTTCAAGCAGCTGCTTTGACAGAGTAGTGAAGAAAGATGTATTTGTAACTGGAACTCGATACATTGCTCTCTCTTTCTCACCCTGTTCCCTGTTCTCTCTGCAAGGACACAATCTGGTGATAAAACAAATTAGAGAAATATCCATTTACAGAGAATGTAAAGATATTAGGAATACATTGCTTAGGATAAAAGCTATCAATTTAGTAACTGCAGTTTCAGGTTAGGTTAAAACTCAGCACTTATAAAGACTTATAAACTACATATCCTTTTATCTTACTTTTAGTACTGGGCACATTTCTATTTTATCAATGTTAATCGTGCTTATATGTTTGATGTTTTGTCTTTACAATTTTTATTGAGCTTATCCAGTAGTAAAATCGCTCTTCCTTTTCCACAATTAAACCTTCTAATTGCTTTTTATATTTGATTCTAGTGAATTTAATTACTGCATTCCTTTGGAGTGAGGTATTGCTGTGTGATAAATATCTTAAAATGTTGTTGTGGCCAATGGAAAGACTTAAGGACAGGAGAGCTGGTTCACCTTGCAGCACTTGGTTGGAATGGAATGAAGAGAAAAAACATTGCAAAAAAATGTTCAGTTAAAAGTGAGGATTCCCCTTTAAAAGGAAGAAGTGAAACATGGTGGCAAGTTACCTTTGCCATACACATTCTCATAACTGGCTCCAGAACAATATCTCCAGGGAGCTGGAAGCTATCACAGCTTCTATTTCTACCATGTTATCTTTATCTGAGACAGCTCAGTTGGAAGTTGAGATATAAATTAACTAAGTGGGGGCTCTTTTGCAATGGAACTAACTTTCTGTTTTTAAAAAATACTTCAGCACAGTAGGCTCAAGGAGGAACTAATGAAAGAACATGGAACATACTTACTGTGGAACTCAAACAAACATTCAGTTCCTCTGATGATTACACAATTAAATGTGCTAGACAGCTGTAGTTTAGAGCATAAGAACAAGGAGGAGCAAGCAATTCAGCCTCTCGAGCCTGCTCCGCCATTCAATATGATCACAGCTGATCTCACCTTGGCCTCAACTCCATTTTCCTGCCCTCTCTCCATAACTCTTCAACTCATTACTTATTTCAGTATTGTATTTTGCTATACAATTTTAGTAAGTTAAGTCGTAGATAGTAATCAAACCTCAAACCTCAAAGCGTATGCCTGTAGAATCTCAGACATTTACAATGCAAGACGGAGGCCATTCAACCCGCTGTATTTAAATCTGTCCTTATCTAAAGCAGTCAAATACCTCAACTCCTCATTCTCCGAATTCCTATGTTTTTTCAGCTTCAGATCTTTCAAACAACTCTTCCTTTAAGAAGTGCGACACTTTTTTTGCCCCAACTATTTCTGGTGAAAAAGAATTCTGTATTCCAACATTCTTTATAAAAGAAATTCCCCAACCATTCTCCTTAATCTTCATGAGAATTCTGAATGAACGAACCATCCCATTCACCAATGACTTCCCAATTGTAAAACAGATTTCCCCATCACCTCATCAAAACATCTCTTCTCATAACTGTAGTTTAATTCATTAGAACAGTTCATGAATTACTAAATTTCCCATTCATTTTGCAAGTGGTTGCATGCGGCTTGATTCAAAGATGATGTGCTGTTGTGAAAGTCATACCTTCTATCTGAAGATTGATCTTCTCTGATTCAATGGGAACATTAGAGATTAATATCCTACAGTTGTAAACACCTGCATCAGAATGCAGTACATTGGAGATGCTGTAGAAAACAAAAAGTATAGATTACTCTCAAGATGCATTGGACTTAATTTTTACACAAATATTACTGTCCCTTATTCGACATTCACCATTCCCTCCTGACTCCCTCCAGGAATTTCAGTACATCTTTCGCACTGAATCATTTAAAGGAGGTTTTTATTTAAATGTCTTTGACAACAGTAACATTCTTTCCCACTATACACTGTCGTGGACATCTGTTCGCAATTGACATTGCAGTTATTCCTGCCCTTGTTGAAAGTATCAACATGTTCTGCACATAAAACTTTAAAGAAAAATTAGTTGCTTACATAGTCATACAGTTGTGCAGCACAGAAACAAACCCTTTGGTCCAACTCGTCCATGCCGACCAGGTTCCCAAACTAAACCAGTCCCATTTGCCTGCATTTAGCCCATATCCCTCTAAGCTTTTCCTATTCATGTACCTGTACAAGTGACTTTTTAAATGTTGTAACTGCATTTGCATATACCATTTCTTCCACCATGAACCACCCCTTTGTGTGAAAAAGTTGCCCCTCAAGTCCCTTTAAAGTCTTTCTCCTCTAACCTTAAAATTATGCCCTCTAGTTTTGAACGCCCCCACCTTAGGGAAAAGATCTTTGCTGTTCACCTTAACTATGTCCCTCATTATTTTATAGACCTGTATAGGGTCACCTCTCAACATCCAATGCTCCAGTCATCTTTCCAATCATGCCTTCATACATTGAACTGGCTGCTAAGAAGGCGCTCATCTCCCAAACCTTCACCCTGTTCTCCTCACCTTGCTCTCAGATTTGCTGTAATACAGCACCTGGCTTCAGCCTAACATATTTTCAGGTGCAGGAATTTTCATGTGATGAAATCTCAAGGCATAACCCTACTCGAGTAGACCTGAAGATAGAGACAAAATGGACTACACCACAAGCTGCATTACTCAAGAATTTATGTGAAATTTTAAATATTTAAAAATGTTAAAATATTGCATTGAGCCTTACCATCCGAAAGCCCTTTGTTTTCTAAAACCAAAGGCATTTAAAAGATTCCCGTACCTGCAGCTGCTGAGGATCCTGGCTCTGTGTTCACTGACTGCAAAAGCAATCCCTTTGTAGGAGCAACGGTGGCCATCGATTAGCTCTTTACCATTCTTCAGCCATTGAATAGGCACATCCTGGTAAAACTCAGGTACATCAATGGAACAGTTAAAGCTTACAGGATTGCCTTGTGATATTATAATGTTTGCTGCTCCAGGTTTGAATCTAATCTCTTCCCGAATGTTTGTTGCAAACAGAGCATCACTGGCAGTACTTTGGGATTCTCCTGCTGGCGTCGGCACATTCTGAGGTGGTACATGGGTCAAGGGAGGCACATGAAAGACACCTGCTGGGCAACAAATTATATTTTTAAAGTCATTTTTCTCAATATTTCTTCTTTCACTAGAGCCCTGACAGATACTTTGTGCGATTTGTTTGGTGTGCCAGTCAAGCTTAACATTCAACAGATGGTAACTGAGGATCTTGCTCAAGGATTTGGGGATTGGTCCCTCAGATTGAAGAACTGTACATGTTACTCTTGGGATACTTGGGAAAGGAGACAGAGAGATATTACAAAATCATATCATCAAGGACAATAACCATATGAAATTTTCAAACTATTTGGATATGTTGAGAGTAGGTCATGCATGAACAACTTATTTGGATCTTTTTGAAACGATTACAAAAGAATGGACACAGGAATGTCTACGGGCATCAGTTAGATCAAATACCTAATGGAATTCCATGATGTCCCTGAGCCATTAACTAAAGTTAAAGCTCATGGAACTGCAGGTAAAATTGTTGACTTGGTCAGGAAACTGGTTGAATGGGAAAATAAAGAAAGTTGGAATAATGGGCAGTTACTTGAATTGCTAGAAAGGACCTGTAGAGACTCACAAAGATCTGTGATAGGGCCTCAAATACATCTTGTCTTTATTAATGACCTAAATGACAGACAGTAAAGCCACATATCTAAATTGAGAATTCAAAGATAGGTGGCATTATAAGCAGTGGAGATGGAGGCATAAAGTTTCAGAGGAAATGCTAATGTGAAGAAGATTCATAATACATGACTATTTGTAAATTTGCATTCTAAACTGGAGGAAAAACAGATTTTAGTTTTCAGTTCTGTGAAGGTCTGACTTTTAAGAAAAGGTTAGAAAATCATTTTAAACAGTAACTCAAACAAACCAGCATTTCCAAGAAGCTATATGACTGTAGTACAGACGAACATACGAAATTGGAACAGAAATTGACCAAGTGGGACCTGCTCCACTATTCAATTAGATAACGGCAATCTGCTTGTGCTTCAAATTCCACATTCTGATCTCTTATTGATTATTGGCTAATGGAATCAGTAAAAATCTAATCACCTGCCTTAAAATTATTCAATGAATAGGCTTCCACCACCTTCTGAGGCACAGAGTTCCAAAGTCACTGAAAATACTTCTCCTCATCTCTGTCCTAGAAGGGTGTACTGTAGTTTTAAAACAGTGTCCCCAAATACAGGACTCACCCACAACAGTAAACATCCTTTCCCCATCCACCATGTCATGAACATTCAGGATCTTATCCACTTCATCAGGTCACCACTCACTCTTCTAAATCCCAGTGAAAAGAAGCCCAGCCTGTCCAACCCATACTCCTAAGACAACCCACTTATTCCAGGTACCATCAATATAAAAAACCTCCTCTGAATCACCTCGAATACATTTACATCCTTCCTTAAATAAGGTAACCATAGTTGTACACAGAATTTGAGATGTGCTCTCACCAAATTCCCTGCATAACTGAAGCATAAAATTCTGTTATGTTCAATTTTTGTCAGAATAAAGGGTAGCATCCTATTAGCCTTCATGCTTCATGTTTTACCTGCGATTCTGAAGAAGTCATATGGAACTCAAAACATTAACTTTTTTATTCTCTCCACAGATGCTGCCAAAACTGCTGCATTTCTGTAACTTCTTCTGCTTTTATTTCAGATCTCCTGCATACACAGTATTTTTGTTTAATTTCCACTGCCTGCCTAACTCAAATATCACAGTGACACAGTGTGGTCTTCAATGCTAAATCAGTCCTTTGGTGCACTTCTTTACTCGGCTGGTATCTTTTCCTCACTCCAAGTATCTCATCTTGTTCCACTGCCTCCCCTCCTCAAAAATCATCATCCTATGTCTCCACCATCCTCCGTCTTTGCCCCAAAGTTTCTCCACAAGTTTCTTCTCTCAACTCTGCACTAAGTGACACTTCACTGATGGTCTGAACCTCTAAATCAAAATAAACTCTTTTCCTATTGATTTTGACACTCTCCTGACTTCCCCAGAAGTTCCCGCAAAGTAAACTTTCCCTTCTCTGTCCATGGCCACCTCATCCATTTTGCCATTGACTGGACTCTCCATTCTGTCACAGACCTGATCACAGACAGGCAGTTTGCAAACCATGTCTTTGTATCCCTCACTACTTATATCCTCACACATCCTTCCAAACCTACTTCTTTGAGCAATCTTTTTATTACCCAGATAAAGCTCATCTCAAGCTACTCACAACTCTAGTTTTAAAATCCAAGATACATCATGACCTCACAAAACAATACATTCATGCTTTATTATGGATTTGATGGCTGAAGTTTTCAATTTTTCATTCAAAGAACACAATAATTGTGCATGTCATAATAAATCCACATATTTCTTGATAGTAACACGTTGTATTTGGAAAAGGATGTCAAATTTTGAATAAATCAGTTCGTCGCCATTTTATTTCATAACAAAACCTCTCTATTCTGAAGGATTAGCAACCATATGTCAAGCACAATTAGTCATCGTGGCAGAACGGTAAATTCACAAAAACATGCTAAGGTAGCCTAGTTTAGCAAGGTCACTGACATAAATGGTATAAAATCATGGAACTTCCGATCTGCCTTTGTGTTTTCATTTGGCTTACATTATCTTCATTCTTCAGAGGCCTATTTTGATGCAGTGGCAAGAAGATAAACAATTGAGACCGTGTTTCAATTTCATTGTAAAAGCATCCACTCCTCATAAGAACAGTGGTTTTGATGATTTTTAAAAAAATTATCAGTATCATCATCGATATTTGATTTCCCTCAGTGTTTTACAGATTTGTAACCACTGTTTAGCACAGAGTCAGGCATTTGACCCAACTGGACCATGTTGGTATTTGTACAAAAAGGCTTCTTCATACTCCCAGTAGCAGAAACTTCCAACCTTTCCTAATAACTGCCTTTATAATATTGATTCAAGTCGAGAAGTGAGGGTGCCTGCACGTGACATCAATGGAGCATTTGACCAAGCATGGTACCAAGGATCCCGAGCAAAAGCAAATTCAAATGAGAATCAGAGAGAAAACTGTCTGCTGGTTGGAGACAATACCTGGCACAAAGGTTATGGTTGTTGCAGGCAAAGCATCTTGGTCACAGGACATCTCTGCAGGAGTTCGTCAGCGTAGTGTCGTAGGCCCAACCATCTTCAGCTGTTTCATCAATGACCCTTCTCTCCATCAGAAGGTCTGGCATTAGATTGTTCGCTGATGACTTCAGTTATATTTGCAATACCTCAGATACCAATGCAGTCAGTATCCATGTGTAGTAAGACCTGGACAACATTCAGGTGCAGGCCAATAAGTTTCAGATAATACTCATGCTACTCAAGTTGCAGGTAATGATTATCTCCAACAAGACAGTACTTAACTGTTGCACAAGGGTGTTTATTCCCTGGAGCAACCTTGTGATGTTGTCACAGAGTTGTTCCCCTATGGTGCAACTAGCACAGTGTAGTTGGAGTTAGTGAGACCAAATATTGAGAAGATGGATGATAGTTGAGCATGTGACATCCAGTTAGGCAGAAGCACACGTAAAGAATAGTTTTAATAACATAGCAGTAAGTTTAGAGGCTGGCAATTTCAGATTACCATGTATTAGAATGGCTTGTATGAATATACAATAAACAGAACTCTGAGCAAACCTAAGTGTAGATATAGTTCTTGACTTTGCCTTCTCCTGGACCAGTCTGTCCTAAACCCAAACTCATGCTTATGGGCATGAAACCACATGACAAAACTAATCATTTCCCCTTGGCATTGAATGGTATTACCATCACTGAATCTCCCCAACTATCAAAATCATCAGAGTCACCATTGACCAGAAACTGAACTGGGTTTACCATATAAATACTGTGGCTACAACAGCAGGATCGGGTATTGTAAACCAAGGTCCCTTTGAAACCGAATTTCCTATGTGGAATTGAGACCTCATATCATGGCTATTATAGCAGTTACTTACCTTCCCCAAACATAAACAACTAATGCCTTAAACAAGGACAAAAGACAAGTTAAAGATAATAGTTATGAAAGCTAACAGGCCAGTGCTGCCTAATGCCCCAAGTTCTTTGGAAAAAGCTGAATTATTTGTTCTTGTTTAAAATGAAAGCTGTCTTAATGATGGAGGAGTGAACAAAGGAGGCAATGGTTATTCTGACATTGTGATTGGCTGTCCCATGTTCATTGTAAATGCAGTGTAGATTGCCAGTCTCAAAAATAGAGTATATCAGCAAATGCTCGGGTTGGTCGGGTTCAGGTTTCCTGCCCAGGAAGCTCTTGCCTCCATATGGAAGATGTGCCAAAAGAGGAGGAAGTTCCAGGGAAGAGTCTACTAACATTTTGGCTGGAGAGCAGGATACTTGCCTTCACAACTTAACTGAGACTGGCATAAGTTGTGCCAATTGTCTGTTCATCAACTGGTATCAAGGAACTATCCTTAATTGTCATAGGTCGTATAAATGCTTTGTCTAATTAAGTAATGTATCACATCAAAATTGTTGTTTCACAACAAATCTAGTGTATGATCTGAAAATTTGTTATAAGTAGTCAACTGTATATCAAGTATGCCATTTGGTCCTCCGCGTTCAATATGATCATGGCTGATCCTCCAACTTAATGCCATTTTCCCACTTTCTCTCCATACCCCTTGATGCCTTTAATACCTAAAAATTTATCAATCTCTTTCTTAAATGTACTCTTCAGCCTTCTGAGGTAGCAAATTCCACAGGTTCAGGACACTCTGAATGAAGAAATATTTCCATATCCTGAGACTCTGACCCCTGGTTCCTAACCAGGGGAAGCATTCTCCCTGCATCTGGTTTGTCTAGTCGTGTTAGAATTTTACACGTTTCAATCAGATCCATTCTGATTCCTCTAAACTCTAGTGAATAAAAGCCCAGTCGAACCAATCTTTCCTCGTAGGACAGCCTTGATTTCCCCGATATCAGCCTAATGAACCTTTCCTGCACTCCCTCTATAACAAGCATATACTCTCTTAGGTAGGGAAATCAAAAC